GCCTGGTGAGAACAGCCCCCCAAATCCCCCCCGCATCCCCCTGGTGAGAACAGCCCCCCAATCCCCCCCGTCCCCCTGGGGAGTACAGCCCCTAAATCCCCCCCGTGTCCCCCCCTGGGCTTGGTGAGCCCAGCCCCCAAATCCTCCACCCAGTGACTGCCTGATTCCTGCCCCCCCCTGCAGCCTGAGGGTCTCTCCCCCCATGGCCGAGCCCAGGGCAGTGGCTTCTCCAGGGAAGGTGTTACCCTGAGAGGGGTCTGGCCATGGGGCACCTGGTGCCCCTGACACTCCCCAGGGCTCCATCCCGGGGCCCTACTCTGACCCTGCCCCCTCTGGTTTCAGTTTGGAGCAGAGACGCAGCAAAGCAAAGTGGCTCCGAGCTCGGCCGCCAGCCGCCCCGTGCTGCCCCCCCACGGGGACCAGGTGAGACACCCCTCGAGCCCCCCAGCAGTGAGCCCTACCCTGCCTCCGGCACTACCCAGGCTGGTGTCACGGAGCCCCCGGGCGATGCTCTGGAACTGCTCCCCACAAAGCCAGTCAGGACTTTGGGGAGCCTCCTCTCACATGGCTTCACCTCCTGGGTCTGACCTCGGAGCATTCAGCATCCCCTTTTCACACCGTGCAATTCCCACAGTGAGTCGCCCGGGCGGGGTCCTGGGACAGCCAGAGGGTTCTGCACCCCCACTTCGCAGTCAGCCGTGACTCCCAGCCAGCCGGGGACACAGAAGGTTTATTAGTCGACAGGAACACAGCATAGGGCAGAGCTCGTTAGCACAAGTCCACCTTGTGGGGAGGGAGGCGAGGGCCAGGGCTGGTCCCTGCCCCCCCGGCGCCCCAAGCCAGCCAGACCAACTCCTTCCAGCTGCCTGGCCCCTGCCCGGCCCGTTGCTCCTCCTACGGCCTTCTGGGGCTAAGAGTCACTTGGTCGCATCCCCCTCCGGGGTCTCAGGTTAGGAAGGGGGGGCTATAGCATCCCTGCAGGCAGCTGGAGCAGCCCCCGCAAAAGTCACACCCCCTTATTCCCACCACCTAGACACTGGTGCAGCGCACAGGGAAACTGAGGCACACACAGCATTCGTGCGAAATAGTAAGACTCACACAGGCTCACATAGAACGTAACAAGGGAAAATCCCCACTGCGTCACCCCAGTCCCTCTGTGGGGGGTGGGGGCGCATGGATCCACCTTCCCCACGGTGGGGGGGCTGGGCCCTGCCCGCAGCCGTCACTTGCTGCCCGGCATCTCTCCCCGCAGGGCGCCAGGAACGAGGTGTTTCTGGACGTGGTGGAGAGGCTGACGGTCGTCATCGCGGCCAACGTGAGTCGGGCGGGGGGGGAGGGAGGTGTCCGGCACAGGAGTCCTGGGCCCTCCCCTCACAGATCCACAGGGTCTTAGCAAGGCCCCAGGTTCCCTTGCCCCCTGGGGAAGCTGCTGGGGGCTGGTTCATTGTCAGGGACTCACCCCCATCCCCTCCTTCCCGCCCAGGGCACCCCCATGAAGGCCGACATCCAGGGAGAAATCCGCCTCAAGAGTTACCTGCCCAGCTGCTCCGGTGCGTAACGTCTGCAGGCCCGGAGCCCCATGGGCCCGAGTCGGCTGAGACGGGCCCGCCGGGGGCGCTCTTTCCTGGCAGTCAGTGCCGGGGCTGAGGGAGCAGGATGGGGGGGCTCGGCCGAGGGCGCAGGGGGCGCGGCTGGTGGCTCGGCCAGTGGAGCAGGCTGGGGCAGGGGCTTGGCTGGTGGCTCAACCAGGGGAGCAGGGCAGGGCCAAGGGTGCAGGGGGCGCGGCTGGTGGCTTGGCTGGGGGCACGGAGTAGGGGGCTCATCTGGGGGAGCAGGGCGGGGCCAAGAGTGCAGGGGGCATGGAGCTCGGCTAGGGGAGCGGGGCGGGGGGCTCAGCCGGGGGTGCAGGGCCGGAGGAGTGGGGCGGGGCCAAGGGCGCAGGGGGCATGGGACTTGACCGGGGGAGCAGGGCAGGGGGCTCGGCCGGCATCGGGGCAGCTCTCCCGTGACGCTCTCCCCTCTCCCCGCAGAGCTGCGCATCGGGCTGACGGAGGAGTTCTGCGTGGGGAAGTCAGAGCTGCGAGGTGAGTGGCTGGGCGCTGGTCTCTGCTCTGCCTGGCGGGGGCGCCCTGGCTTTGATCCCGCCCCCCCCTGCAGGCTACGGCACCACCAGTCTCCGCTCTGCCTGGCGGGGGCGCCCTGGCTTTGATCCCCCCCTCTCCCCCCGCAGGCTACGGCACCGCCGTCCGCGCCGACCAATGCGCCTTCCACAGCTCCGTGAAGCTAGACGAGTTCGAGAGCAGCCGCATCCTGAAGGTCACCCCCAGCCAAGGGGAGGTGAGCCCCACGGCCTGCCCTGACCCCCCCTCTGCAGCCCCACGGCCTGCAGCTGGGCGCCCAGTGTGGGGACCGGGGGAGGTGAGCCCCACAGCCTGACCCCACTCTGCTCTCCCCAGCTGCCAGTGATGCAGTACCAGCTGTCAGACGACATCCCCTGCGCCCTGCCCTTCCACCTCTTCCCCACGCTGGAGAGGGACCCTACGGGCAGGTGAGTGAGCGGGGCATCCGGGAGCACAACGCCCCTCGGCCCAGTGCCTCGGCCCTCACCCTTCCCATCTCCCCACAGGCTCCGCATCTACCTCAAGCTCCGCTGTGACCTGGCTCCCAAAAGGTAAGAGCCCGGGGAGCTGGGAGGCTCCCTGGGGTGCGGACGGCCCCTGCCAGCCATGTCCCCCTCCCCAGCAGGCTCCCAGGCTGCTGCGTGCCCCCCCCGGCCCCAGTTCACCGCTTTCTCTTCCCTCCAGCCAGGCCCTGAACGTGCGAGTCCAGCTGCCGGTGCCGAAGGGGGTCGTAAGGTGGGTGACCGGGGCTCCGGGCGGGTCTCCCCTCTAGTACCGGGGGCTGCATGCTGGGGGGACGGCGCTGGGGGCAGGCCTGCCCCCCCCCTGACTCTCTCCTCTCCCCCAGCCTGTCCCAGGAGCTGAGCAGCCCTGAGCAGACCGCCGAGCTGCAGCCCAGCATCAAGGCCATTCGCTGGGTGATCCCGCGCGTCCAGGGGGGCTCCCAGCTCTCCGCCCTCTTCAAGGTAAAGCCGGCCTGGGACGCGGAGGGGGGAGACGGCCCTGGCCAGGGGGATGCACCCCTGTGTTAGTGAGAGGGAGCAGAGCCCCTGCCCTCTGGAAGGAGGATGAGCTGTGGGGCAGAGGCGTTAATGAACGTCTCTAACGTCTATGCTGGGGTCTGAGGGTGCCAACCCCACCCCACAGAAGGGGGGCGCGTGTCGTGCTCTGCCCCGGACAATAACGCCCCCGCTCTCTCCCTGCAGCTGGAGATCCCAGGGCTGAGCAGCTCCTCGCTGCTGGAAGTGGGGCCGGTGAACATGTCCTTCGAGCTGCCCATGCACACCTGCTCTGGCCTGCAGATCCGCTTCCTGCGCTTCACGGCCCCACAGGCCGGGCTGCCCCACCGCTGGGTGCGCTACGTGTCCCACAGCGACTCCTACGTCATCCGCCTCTGAGCCCAGCCCCACCGCTGGGTGTCGCTACGTGTCCCACAGCGACTCCTACGTCATCCGCCTCTGAGCCCAGCCCCACCGCTGGGTGTGCTACGAGTCCCACAGC